GACGAAGTGAGAGAGTGGCATGGACATATATACGCTACCAAATGTAAAATAGATAGCTAGTGGGAAGTAGCCGCATAGCACAGGGATATCAGCTCGGTGCTTTTTGTCCACCTAGAGGGGTGGGATAAGGAGGGTGGGAGGGAGATGCAAGAGGGAGGAGAAATTGGAATATATGTATATGCATAGCTGATTCACTTTGTTATACAGCAGAAACTAACACACCATTGTAAACCAATTATACTCTAATAAAGATGTTTAAAAAATTAAAATAAAAACAAAATTGGAACCTAAAAAAAAGATGTTGTTGAAAGAAATTAAGAAGACAAAAATAAATGAAAATATATTCCATGCTCATGGATGGGAAGAGTTAACAGGATAAAAATGTCCATATTACCTAAAGCAATCTACAGATTCAATGAAATCCCTATCAAAATCCCAAGGACATTTTTCACAGAAACAGAACAAAAAATTCTAAAATGTATATGGAACCACAGTAGTCCCCCAAAGCCAAAGCAATCCTGAGAAAAAAGAACAAAGCTGAAGGTATCCCACTTCCTGATTTAAAACTCCTATATTACAAAGTTATAGTAATCAAAATAGCATGGTATTGGCAGAGAGAAATATAGATGCCTAGATCAATGGAAACACATTGATATCCCATAAATAAATCCACAAATATATGGACAATTTATTTATGACAAAGGAGCACAGAACATACAATGGAGCAAGAATAGTCTCTTCAGCAAATGGTGTTTGGAAAACTGGACAGTCATAAAAAAATGAAACTATAGAAACACTATCTCACACGATATTTTTTAAATGTACTCAAAATGAAGACTTGAATGTAAACCTGAAACTATGAAACTTGTAGAAGAAAACATAGGTGGTACTCTCTTTGGCATTGGTCTTAGCAATAATTTCTGGATATGCCTCCTCAGACAAGGGAAACAAAAGTAAAAGTAAACAAATGGGACTACATCAAACTAAAAATCTCCTGCACTGCAAAGGAAACTATCGACAAAACAAAAGGACAACCTACCCGATTGGATAAGATATTTACAAATCATATATCCAATAAGGGATTAACTTTCCAAATATATAAAGAACTCATACAACTCAACCAAAAAAAAAAAAAAACTGATTAAAAAAAGAGCAGAGGACCTGAATAGACACTTTCCCAAAGAAAATGTACAGATGGCCAACAGACACAGGAAAAGATGCTCAACATCGCTATCATCAGGGAAATGCAAATTGAAACCACAATGAGACACCAGATGTCAGAAAGGTTACTATCAAATAGACAATAATGAATGTTGGCTAAGATATGGAGTAAAGGGGACCTTTGTGCCCTATTGGTGGGAATATAAATTTGTGTAGCCACTATGGAAAACAGTATGGAGATTCCTCAAAAATTAAAAATAGAACTACCATACAATCCAGCAATTCCACTTCTGGGCATTTTTAAAAGGAAAAAAAAACCACTAATTCAAAAAGATATATGCACCCCTATTTTCATTATTTCCAGCATTATTTGCAAAATTATTTACAATAGCCAAGATATGGAAGCAACTTAAGTGTTTATTAATAAATCGATGGATAAAGAAGATGTGGTATATCTATACAAAGGAATATTACTCAGCCATAATAAGGAATGAAATCTTACCATTTGCAACAAGCCAGATGGGCCTAGAGGGTATTATGCTACGTGAAATAAATCAGACAGAGAAAGACAAATACCTATGATTTTGCTCATATGTGGAATCTAAAAAACAAAACAAATGAACAAACCTAACAAAACAGAAACAAACTCAGATACAAAGAACAAACTATTGGTTGCCTGAGGGGAAAAGAGTTGAGGTGATCAGTGAAATCGGTGAGGGAGATTAAGAGGTAAAAACTTCCGGGCTTCCCTGGTGGCACAATGGTTGACAGTCCACCTGCCGATGCAGGGGATGCGGGTTCGTGCCCCAGTCCAGAAAGATCTCACATGCCACGGAGCGGTTGAGCCCATGAGCCATGGCTGCTGAGCCTGCATGTCCGGAGCCTGTGCTCCGCAGCGGGAGAGGCCACAGCAGTGAGAGGCCCACGTACCGCAAAAAAAAAAAAAAAAGAGGTACAAACTTCCAATTATAAAATAAGTAAGTCACAGGGATGTAATGTACAGACTAGAGAATAATATGGTAGTAACTTTGGTGCCAAATGGTAACTAAACTTATCACAGTGATCATTTTGTAATATACAAAAATATCAAATCACTATGTTGTACACCTGAAACTAATATAATATTATAAGTCAATTATACCTCAACAAGAAAGAATGAAAAGAAAGAAAGAAAGAGAGAAAGAAAGAAAGAAAGGAAGGAAGGAAGGAAGGAAGGATGGAGGAAGGAAGGAAGGAAGGAAGAGCTTCATAAATTTTTTTAAATTAAAAAATAACAATAAAGCTGTCAGGTTAACAAAATAGTTCAATGATGTCTTCTGGTCCTATTGAAAGTTATTTGTGTTACTGCCAAGTGATCACCTTCTCAGTAGCCCTTCTTCCTAAAGTCTTGTATAAATTCTGCTAAATTCCGAAATGCTTAGTATATGATTTGATTTTTGTTAGAAGTTAAAGAAGAGTTTTGCATCAGGGAGGGTGGATATTGTGCAAATCAAGAGTTAACCTATGAAGACAGAGAATTCTGAAGGCCAGTATATCCCTGACAATGTAAACATTTCTGGAATTAGCAAAGGTTTGAAAGACCCTAGGCTTTCAAAAGTCATGCAATTGGTGGAAGTTTGAGACAGTTTTACTACAACTTTCCTATTAATCAGGAAAATCCCATAAGGTGATATCTGGGATAAACAATAAAGCAATTTTAATTCAGCTAAAGAAAAAATTTAGAATAGTATACAACGTGTTCCCAGATGTTTTCTTTAGATAGTAGTAATGCTACTCGTTATTTTCTTCCTTCTCTTTTGTTTTGTATTTCCAGATTCTTGTTAATAGTGTACAAGTTATATGACAAAACTATTTTTAAATACCATTTTTAGTTGACATAAAAAGGAAAATAAAACAAAAAACTTTCAAATAAACATGCTTCCTGGCTGACCCACTTAAATAAATAATTTGCTCTCAACTCCTCAACTCAATAGAGCCTGGTGGGTGAGTTATCCAGAAATTTATCACACTTACATCCTTTTATAAGTAGTATACTAAAACAATCTGTACTTTTAAAACTCCTGGTGGACTTTGAGGTCCTTAGATTTAGCAATAAGTACTGATCAGTGATTTCTTCCTCTTTAAGAAACATCATGTTCTTTATTCATCCATCTAACTCATGGGAACACCTACTCCCTACTTTATGGGATCAATCTAGGAGATTTTCCAGGCTCATAGACTATATGGCAGCAGGGGATAGAATAGACATACACATATACATATGCACACACACATGCAAGCACACACACATTACTGAAGTGGGAGTAAATAGACACAATTTTTTCTAAGATGTTCTTTTAATGTTATCTGTGGGACAAAGGAATGTGAGTTTTCTAATCAAAGAGCTGGTGAAGAAGACAGTGCAGGTTAGATATAGAATGTTCTCCTCATTGTAGGGGCAATACATTTTGTTAATATAAATAAACTCTTTCATCTTCAAAACTCAAAGATCAATTTTTCAGCCCTACCCTCTTTGAATTTCTCATCCTATCTAGAATAGAGTCCATGATTTACTTCAATAACTAGAACTCTTTTGTTCCTCTTCTTTTAGTCATTTAAGTCCTTGGGCACACCACAAACCTGTACTGACCTGACTATCTGTTGTGTCCATTTCTGTATTTAGATAAACAAGTGTTGCTGGTGTCATTACACAAAAAATACATTGATATTATGTAAATTTATGGTAATCAGTCTCGACTAGTTCATCTACACTGTCCAGTTCAATACACTGTATTGAACTGCTCACAGCCAGAGCCAGAGTGAGAGGTTGTTAAATTAAGGTGATAGAGACAGTATAATCTCCAAAAGCTTATTCCATAGATGATATTAGTGTCCTGGTTTGGATCCAAAATGAACTGCCTTGATTCAAACGGATTTCTAGATTGGTCTTAGACATGAAAATGACTGAAAGCAATTCAAAGGAAAGTCCATTAATCTTCCGATAACCTTTCAAAAGGGGTATAATGCCATAGGAATCAAAGCCTGAGTAACAAAATCATTCACATAGTTTCCTAAACCTGCATTAATAAGAAATGTGTTGTCAAAGTAGGGCAATCCCCAGAAGAATTTTCTCCCAACCTCCTCCAAGATATGTCCACTGAAATCAATGGACAAGGAAATCTTCCCAGAGAGCAGACCAGAAAGATACAAACTAACTAAAGAACTCTCTACACTGGCAAGAGATAAACCATTGCTATTTTGGTCCATCAGGATGATGCTTTATGCTATGTTATCTCTGTATTTTCTCCCCTTTTTGATATTTCTAAATGAAAATTTTATTGTAGTCATCCTTTTAATCTTCCATCATTGTATATTGCTTGTCTGTAAATTTAGCTAGGATATAAGAATAAAAATTGTCTACCATTTGAACTGGCTGAAGTGATAGACACAATACCTAGAGACCTAGACTTAGCTGAATGCAGTCAATGGAATAGGCTTCATTTATTCTATTTCCTTATTCATTCCTAGAAGTGAGTACATGTCTACCTTGGTCTATCTGGGCAGACAGCCAAAGTAGAGAAAGCACAGAGTTTTCTCACCAGCAGACTACAGCCTACAGAAGGGCATCAGGTGTGATGGGATGGAACACACTGTGTCTCTGAATTCCATGTGTGAGTAAAGTGGGTAAACAAATTTCCTGTGCCTGCCCACGTGATAAAAAGTCCACAGTTCAGAAGTTTAGGGGCATGCTTCGTATCATAACATCTGTTCTGGTTCAGTGCATAAGGATCTAAGTCTCTGAGGAAGATGACATAGTGGACCAAGAGCCTTGGCTGTCACCTCCTCTTGGAAGCCTGGCCATGAGGCTCCTCCTGATCATTGCAATTCTGCTGTTCCAGAACTTCACAGATAATCCAGAGATTTCCAGGGGCTGACTCAAACTACATTGGTTTTATAGTGGTGAGCGTAGCTGCCTTCCAGGGGCTCACTCAAATCAACAATGGATGGAGTACTTTCAAGAACCCAAGGGAATTTTATAATTCACGGTAGGAAGAGATAGGGCCCTAAGGATGGCTGAAGTCTATCCAATGTCATCAGAAATTCCCTCTTCCTGAGCCCTTCTACTATGTTACTGTTTTTAAAAAAGGAGTATTCATAGAGCTGAAATAGGTCATAATTTCCTCTGAGAAGGACTCATTACAGAAAGACATAAGACCAATATCTGGGGATGACATTATTTCTTTGGATACAGTTTTTACTCTGGCACCCAGCCATATATTCTTCCAATCTCATACTGTAGATATATTTTAATCTATTTTACTACAGTGTGTGAACAGTGGAAGGAGAACAAACTTTGGATTCAGGTTTTAGAAACATGCCTTCAACATCTACTAGTTTATCGACTTTGGATAAAAGATGAAGATTGGCTGAGCCTTAATTTCCTCACTTGTGGAGATAATGACACCTGGCTCATAGGGGATTTATTAAATGACAAAAACGTGTAAAACATCTAGCACAGGGCTTGTCACATACTAAAAACTTAAAAATTAGCTTCCTTTCCTCTTTCAAAATCAGATCCCTTATATTTGTCCCTTATTATAGGAAAAATAATGGTCTATCTGTAGCCCCTTAAACTCCTAAGAGTCAAAGGAATCTCTAGAACCTGGTGTTGGAGGCTGCATCTTTGTTTTTAGTCTCACCCTCTGGGGTTTATTCCAGAGGATAGTACAAGCCCCGAAGCCAAAATGTGAACATCCTAAACTCTTAGATTATTGAAAATATTTAGGATCACTAAAGTAGACATATCAAGGTGAGCAAAGGTCTGGAGAAATTCTCTCCTCTGGAGATAGAAAGAGAATGAGGGGTCATAGAGGGATAAAACAAACCCAAGATTGTTGTGATGACATAGAAGCCAAAAGAAGATATGCATTGACAAAAATGTACAATACTGAGAAGTAATGGGGGAGGAAGAAAGTTGAGGGTCAAAATATCTCACTGGACCAAAAAAAGTCATTCTTGACCATGGTAGCAAGTATGAACCCAAGAGCAGAGTTTGATTCAGACATAAATACCTAGTAACAAATTATTGTATTCCGAGCAGTGGTAGGAAAGTAGTACTCTGGAAGCACTCAAATAGAGGCAGATTTTCTGAGGTTCTCAGATGGAGCATAATTCCATAGCATGAAATCAAGGATTCAGCTCCTTTATTTTCCCAAATAAGATCTGTTGCTCTTGGTGAAGTCCATCAGATGTAGGATGGAAGTCCAAAACCTTAGAGGAATAAAATATGAGTGATCAGTTAGACATAAACACTGAAGTTCACCCTCTTGGAGAATCCTCTGTGGAATATTACTGGTATGTGTTCTGTGGGTCTCCCATATACTTTATCCCTACAAACATTCTCTGTCTTCCCTATGACTAAAGTTGCCTTTTGTTTCAAACACTGACCTTGGCCTATTGTTCTTTATGTGCACAGTAACCGAACAACTTAAGAGATGCTGGGGTGAATACATAGGAGGATTCTGCAGGAAAATATGCAAAACAACAGAAATACGTGAAGTGCTATGTGAAAATGGGAGATATTGTTGCCTCAATATCATGGAACTGGAAGCACTTAAAAATGTACCAGACCACCTCGTCCAAAGCCAGTGACATATGCATTTACTTTTCCACAAGAGTATTATGCAGATGAACAGAATTATACAAACTCCAACAAAAAGTTTACATAAATCGAGCACAATTTTCTGTTAGTTTATTTCTCAACCTATTCCAATAAACTGAGGTGAAGAGGTCCACTTCCTCTCCCTTCTTGTTCCTAGATCTCAGTCTAATAAATCTCATTGCCAGTTTTCGGACTCATTGTTCTTTAACCAGAGGTTGAACATTCAATATATCAAATGATGAATTGATAAGGACAACTCAGAACCTCCCCTTGAAAAGGGGATACAACCAGTACACTAAAAAATCTATAACATGGAAGACTGGATGGAGAAACTCAGGAAAGTAGACCTGTAATTCAGGAGAGGGAAATACGAAGCTGAGTATTCAGAAAAATATGTGAGTGAGTTTAGGATTAAAGTTCTGCCTCGTGAAATGTGTAGGATTTCAACAGGTGAGTGTTAGTAGAGAAGGTAATTTGAGTGAAAAAGATGAAATGAACAAACGGAAGGAAATTAGAAAAGACAGGACATTTTAGGAGAATATACATGCATTTTGTTTGGTTTAAGAATAGAGTACCCGAAGTTGAACTATGGGGAAGTCTAATTTCTTTAGTTCCTGTGTAAAAGCAGTGAGCTGGGAAGATAGAGAAGAATAACATTCCACTATTTTGGAGCTCACCATATAAGGTGGAGGCAGACATATATATGTAACTCCAAGACAAAGTTTTTAGTTGTTTCTTTGCTGTTGTCGTTGTTTAATGTGTTACCACTAGTAACGCATCCTTTACTGAGGTGACTGGAGCCCTTATGTGTTTGGAGGAAATGTAAAGGACCTAGGAACTGGTCTGAACTGCAGTATTGTATGAGATTTTATTGCTGTCTTGATATGCAAGATGACATAATGACTATCCATTTATATACTCAATCTAATTCTTAAAGATATTCCTTTTGGATGAAAAATTTCTTTCCAACTACTTTTCACACTTATTTTTCAGTTTTGTTTCTTATATTTCTTCTTTTTGTTTCTTATATTATTTCACCACTGTACTATCCGTCATGAACTTATGGTATGTGTTCTCTTAATTATCCTCTTATCTCCTGTCCTAGGGCTGGGGCAGGGCAATATACAAGATGAGCCTAAAGTATCTCGTAGTGCCAGAAAGTAAGGACATGCTTTAAAAATCAGAAGGATGAGAACACACTATCGTAAAGCAAGTATACTCCAATGAAGATGTTAAAAAAAAATCAGAAGGATGAGGCATATTAATGGGACATAGGAGTCACTTTGAAAGAGTTTTGAATGACCAAAATGGGGACAATTGGAGCAGTAAGGTAAATAACGTAACATTGGATTATAATACAAGGTAGAAGCGAACATCCATGAGTCCACACTGATATGAATAATTAATTAAATAAATGGATGAGAAGAGACAGATTTTCTGTACAGAAGAATTTCAAGTAATTTATGTAAATACTTATTCCCCAAGGAGGTGGGGCTTCATCTCCCTCTCCCTTGAATATGGGCTGTGCTTAGTGACTTCCTTCCAAAGAGTAGACTATGGAAAGGAGCAAAAGGGTCACTTTACAATGGGTAAACCTCATAAAATCATGTTTTAGATTTTATGGAAAAATCATATGGACAGCATGAACGTGTGAGGTGATGCAAATGGCATTTCACCTTTGTCGTCTTCCTCCCCAAAACCCATAACCCAGTTTAACAATGAGAAAAACCCAAACTGAGTGGCATTCTGCAAAATATCTGACCAATACTCCTCAAAACTGTCAAACTCATCAAAAACAAGAAATTTCTGAGAAACTGTAACAGACCAGAGGAAGATAAAGAGACATGACAACTAAAGGTAATGTGATATTCTGCATGGTCTCCTAAAACAGGAAAAGGAAGTTAAAGAAAAACTATTATAACAAGGGCAGAGCTTAGTTAATAACAATGTACTTAACTGTGACAAAGGCATCATGGTCTTATAAGATGTTAACAATAAGGAAAACTGGATGAGGAGTATACAGGAGCTCTCTGTATTATCTTTGTATTACTTTTCTATAGATAGAAAACTGTTCTAAAATTAAAAGTTTATTTAAATTAAAAAACTAAACACAAAATCAATTTGGCAGGAGTCTCTGTTTTCCTATTTATCCAAGAGCCTTCGTATTATACCGTCATTAAACATTTGATAGAATCAACTAAGATTCAACTCTTTATAGGAAGTATACAAATTGTAGGTTGTTTCTTGAAGACTTAAAAGACAATTCTCATTTTCTATTTCTTTTAGTTAGCTTTTGTATTTTTCCTTTATTATTTTTCCCATTTTGTTAAGATTTTCAAATGTATTTCCCTAAAATAACTTGTAAAGTCTTCTTTTTCTTTTTAATGTCTGTAAGATATATAGTGATGTCTACTTTTTCGTTTCACCATTGGTTGTGTCTTCACTTTTTTCTTGATGTCTCACTAGTCACTTATTAATTTGATAAGTCTTTACAAAAACCAAATTTTCTTTATTAATTTTTGTTTAGTTTCCATTTCTTTAATGTCTTTATTAATGTTTTCATTTTCACTTATTTTTCAAACAACTTCACATGCAATAAAACTACGTGTTTTAAATGTGTAACATAATGTCTTATTTCTACTTTGCTAGTTTTAATATGCCCTTTTTTCTAACATTGTTAGATGATGTTTACGTCTCTTATTGTTAGCCTTTCTTCATTTCATACATGAGCATTTTTAAAAATTTTTTTATTTTTTTATTTTTGGCTGCGTTGGGTCTTCGTTGCTGCACATGCACTTTTTCTCTAGTTGCAGTGAGCGGGGTCTACTCTTCGTGCGGTGCATGGGCTTCTCACTGCAGTGGCTTCTATTGTTGCAGAGCACAGAATCTAGGCCCACGGGCTTCAGTAGTTGTGGCTCATGGGCTCTAGAGTACAGGCTTAGTAGTTGTGACACACGGGCCTAGTTTCTCTGTGGCATGTGGGACCTTCCACACCAGGGCTCGAACCCGTGTCCACTGCATTGGCAGGCAGATTCTCAACCACTGCACCACCAGGGAAGCCCTGCATACATGAGCATTTTAAAGCTATAGATTTCCCTCTCTACATAGCTTTAGCAATATCCCACAAATTTTTAGCATATAGTATGTTCATTATTATATTAAAAACCTTCTCATTTTTCTTAGATAAGAGTACATAAATAGAACTAAGATTACCTGAGGACTATGGGGACAAATATTGACCATGAAATTTTCTCAATTATAATTACAAATACAGTAATATGGCTTTAATTATATGTAAACAAAATCAACTAAACATCAAAACTTAAAACAAACAGAACATATCATACACAGAAATGTTTACACACTTGTCCTTCATACAGTTTGTTTCCAATATGATCCTCTGTCTTGCCACGAACTTTTATGTGGCTTAAAACTGGCATTTATGTCAGAGTGTTCTGCTGTGATTTATGTCATAGCAGAACACTCTATGACCTAAATCACAGCAAGATCCTTTTTGACCCACCTCCTAGAGAAATGGAAATAAAAACAAAAATAAACAAATGGGATCTAATGAAACTTAAAAGCTTTTGCACAGGGCTTCCCTGGTGGCGCAGTGGTTGAGAGTCCGCCTGCCGATGCAGGGGACATGGGTTTGTGCCCCGGTCCAGGAAGATCTCACATGCCACAGAGCGGCTAGGCCCGTGAGCCATGGTCGCTGAGTCTGCACATCCAGAGCCTGTGCTCCGCAACGGGAGAGGCCACAACAGTGAGAGGCCCGTGTACCGCAAAAAAAACCAGCTTTTGCACAGCAAAGGAAACCATAAGCAAGACCAAAAGACAACCCTCAGAATGGGAGAAAATATTTGCAAATGAAGCAACTGACAAAGGATTAATCTCCAAAATTTACTAGCAGCTCATGCAGCTCAATAACAAAAAAACAAACAATCCAATCCAAAAATGGGCAGAAGATCTAAATAGACATTTCTCCAAAGAAGATATACAGATGGCCAAGAAGCACATGAAAAGATGCTCAACATCATTAATCATTAGAGAAATGCAAATCAAAACTACAATGATGGGGCTTCCCTGGTGGCACAGTGGTTGAGAGTCCACCTGCCGATGCAGGAGACACGAGTTCATTTCCCAGTCCAGGAAGATCCCACATGCCGCAGAGCAGCTGGGCCCGTGAGCCATGGCCGCTGGGCCTGTGCGTCCAGAGCCTGTGCTCCACAATGGGAGAGGCCACAACAGTGTGAGGACCGCGTACCGCAAAAAAATAAAACTACAATGAGATATCTCACACAGGTCAGAATGGCCATCAACAAAAAATCTACAAACAATAAATGCTGGATAGGGTGTGGAGAAAAGGGAACACTCTTGCACTGTTGGTGGGAATGTAAATTGATAGAGCCACTATGGAGAACAGTATGGAGGTTCCTTAAAAAACTACAAATAGAACTACCATACGACCCAGCAATCCCACTACTGGGCGTATACCCTGAGAAAACCATAATTCTAAATGAGTCATGTACCAAAATGTTCATGGCAGCTCTATTTACAATAGCCAGGACATGGAAGCAACCTAAGTGTCCATCAACAGATGAATGGATCAAGAAGATGTGGCACAAGTATACAATGGAATAATACTCAGCCATAAAAAGAAATGAAATTGAGTTATTTGTAGTGAGGTGGATGGGCCTAGAGTCTGTCATACAGAGTGAAGTAAGTCAGAAAGAGAAAAACAAATACCATATGCTAACACATATATATGGAATCTAAGGAAAAATAAAAAAGCTCATGAAGAACCTAGGGGTAAGATGGGAATAAAGACACAGACCTACTAGAGAATGGACTTGAGGATATGGGGAGGGGGAAGGGTAAGCTGTGACAAAGCGAGAGAGAGGCATGGACATATATACACTCCCAAACGTAAGGTAGATAGCTAGTGGGAAGCAGCCACATAGCACAGGGAGATCAGCTCGGTGCTTTGTGACCGCCTGGAGGGGTGGGATAGGGAGGGTGGGAGGGAGGGAGACGCAAGAGGGAAGAGATATGAAGACATATGTA